CCAAGAGGAGAATGGAGGAAAAGGGATTGTGGTGTGGCCATACCCCCTGGGGGGTGATTTCTCACTTTCTATCTCTCTGTCTCTGTCTATCTGGCGAGCACACACGCCCTATAGCAAAAACCTCTCCAAAAAAACAAAAAAGACTTGTACAACATATTCATAACAGCATTCATTATTCACAATACCAAATGATCGACGAACCCTAGTATCTGTCAGCAGGTCAATGGATAAATAAAATGTAGTTTGTGTATACAGTCGAATATTATTTAGCTTTAAGAAAAAACTGACGCATGGTACAAACTGGGTAAACCTTGAAGACATAACGCTTAGAATAAGCCAGTCACAGACAAATACTGTGTGACTCCATTTAAATGAAGTGCCTCGAGTAGTCAAATTCATAAATACAATGGTTGCCAGGGGCTGGGGGTCAAGGGAATGGGAGTTACTGTTTAATATGTATAACGTTTCAGTTTTGCAAGTTGAAAAGAATTCTGGAAATTGTACAGTGATGTAAATATACTTACACTATTGAACTATCCACCTGAAAGTGGTTAAGATAATAGACTTTTGCTCTGTGTGTGCACGTGCGTATATATAGAAAGCAAGCGCCATAAGATGCACACACTCACCAGAGAGACAGAGGTGGGGGAGGGTGGAGTTGTGAGAAATCACCCCGCAGGGGGAATGGCCAAACTGCAATCCCTTCTCCATTCTCCTCTTGGGATTTTGGCCATGCATGCATGTACCTGGCATGATTTTTCAGGCTGCCAGTCTAGAACTCAAACCGCGGAGAATGGCCATATGGAATCTAGTGCCTTAACCTCCTTGCCACCTGCTGGTCCTATGCTATATATATATTACCACATTTTTAAGAAATGGTTTTTGAATGCTAATAACCCTTGGTAAGAAGAGTAACAGATTGATTATTTCAAGTAATAAATTATCAACTTCTGTTTTAACAGTTCTGCATTTTCCAGTTGGTGAGCACTGAGAGTAACCGCTACAGTCTAGATCATATTTCCTCACTGTTCACTTCTCAGGTAGGTTGAATCGGCCTTTGCACATGACACAAGTACCAAAAGAAGTGTGGGCTAGGTCCACTGTGTCGTAATGGGATTATAGTCTTAAAATGGACTATTTTGTGATGTACGAAAATGGAATTTCGTTTGAGTTTTGCCACATTCATGTGGTACCATTTTTTGTTTTTATGCATTTTCCTCTTCTATCCACGCAATTTTAAGTCACCCTAAGTTATTGCCTTTCTTTCTTGGCTTACCTTTTTATCACATTTCCTTCCAGGAGACACTGATTGACTTTGCCTTAACCTCCACGGATATCTGGGCCTTGTGGCATGATGCTGAGAACCAAACAGTTGTGAAATACATCAACTTCGAACAGTACGACTCACTCAACTTTGTCATCCTACCTCACTCCATGCAGTTTCATGCTTAGAAGAAAGCCTTTTATATAGAATCAAGTCAAGGATCTTTCTTTGAAGAATTCCCAGCTGGTTTTGCTATTACTGTTTTCCAAAGTGCTTTCTTACCATTTTTAGTTATTTTTACCTTTTGGTTTTATGACAAAACGAGGATTTTTAAGGCTGTACTAAGATACAGAAAATACCATATTTCTTGGGAGAGATAGTATGTCTCTCAAACACGTTTTTGGAGAGGTTTTTGCTATAGGGCTTGTGTGCTCACCAGAAAGACAGAGAGGCAGAAAGTGAGAAATGACCCCCCCAGTGGGATTCCCACGCCACAATCCCTTCTCCTCCATTCTCCTCTTGGGATCTTGGGCATGCATACACATGCGCCTGGCTACACTTTTTTTAATGCTTATTAAGTCTTACGTGCTTGCTAGAGAAAGAGAGAGAAAGCACTGCTGGAAGGACATGGTTGCATTGCAACCTGTATTCCTCCATTTCTCCTTCCTGTCAGGATTCTGGGCATGCAGGCACATGTGCCAGCATGTTTTTTTTGTTTTTTTGGGTTTTTTTTTCCAGCATGTTTTTTAATTGCCAGACAATGCATGCACTCACTACAGAGAGACAGAGTACACCTCCTTAATAGGACGTGGTCACATCACAATCCCTTCTCTTTCGTTTCTTCATTCTGTAAGAATTTGGGGCATGTGTGCACGTGGGCCCAGCGTTTTTCAAACAGCTGGAACTGGGATTTGAACTGTGGATAGTCATGTGGTTCACAGCTTCCCTTGCCACTAGGAAACAGGGCCAGCTCTAAATGTTTGTTACTTTCACTAGAGAAAGAAAAAGTGAGACAGGCATCCCTGATAGAGTTCACATACCACAATCCATCCCCAGTTCCATCCAGCCCTAGACTATGAGCATAGGGAGACCCTAGAGTGCAAACCTGAGATCTTCCCATTTGGGTGAGCCCAGTATCACAAGAACATCTATTATAAGACAATTTAATGTATTATTCTAATATTAGATGATATTGAATCTTTTTAGTTTGCATATTTTAAACTTTTTAGAAAAATATTTAATTTCTTTTTTTAGATTTATTTTTTATTTTTAGTTTTATTTATTATCATTATTCTTCCAATTTTGTCAAAGAGACAGAAAGAAAGGGAGAGTGAAAAAGCAAGCTGCCAAGTCTGGGACTTGAATGGGCATGTGGGAGTCCACTACCTAAACCACTATGCTTCCTTCCTGACCGTATCATTATTTATTTTAGTTTCCTTTTTAATTTGCTACAGGGCACATGCATAAGAGAGAGAGAGAAAATGAAAAAGCACACCACCAAGTCTGGGATTCAAACTGCCATCAGCCATGTGGGAGTCCAGTGCCTCAAACACCATGCTACCTGCTGGTCCCAAGTTTAAAACTTTATAATAATTACAAATATATTTGAGGGACCAGTAGTTGGTGTAATCACTATGTCACTGGACTCCTGTGTAGTCGACCACAGTTTGAGTCCCAGACCTAATGGCTTAAACTCACGCCAGGCATGTGTGTGTGCATGCCCAAGATCCTGAAAGGAGAAGGGATTGCAGCATGACCATTCCCCCTGGGGGGAGGGGTTGATTTTTCGCTTTCTGTTTCTCTGTCCTTCTGGGGAGCGAATGTTCACTATAGCAAAAAACTCTCAAAAAAAAAAAAAAAAAGGATATTTGCAAACCAGTTTGTTTTTTCCTTTTTTTGGAGAGGTTTTTGCTATTGGGTGTGTGCGCTCGCCAGAAAGACAGAGATAGAGAGACAGAAAGTGAGAAATCACCCCCTCGGGAGATGGCCACATCGCAGTCCCTTCTCCATTCTCCTCTTGGGATCTTGGGCATGCACGCACATGCGCCCGGCGTGAGTTTAAGCCTCCGGGTCTGGGACCCGAACCATAGTCGACTACATGGGAGTCCAGTGACATAGCCATTACGTTCACGCTGGTCCCGAAAACCAGTTTTGAAGCAAGCACTCATATAACCCTTTAACACCTGTAGATGAATCCCTGCAACACAGCGTGAAGATTGCTGAACTAATCTAACCCTCTTGGTTCCTCAGAATCCGAAATTCTAGGATAGAAGTCTAAGAATGTTTGTCTTAGATTGACCTCAAGCTTCAAAAATATAAAAGTACGCTTGAGCAAAGTTGTCCGAGAGCACAGGCACCAGAGTTAGAGGCTGGTTGGAATCTGGTTGTGCAGCTTACTCATTAGCTATACCCTAAGCCTCACTTTCCACATCTGTGAAATTATAGTAGTAGACTCTTAAAAGGTTATTACGGGGACCAGCAGGTGGCGTGGTGGTTAAGATGCTGGACACTCCCACATGGCCAACCACAGTTCGAGTCCTGGACCTCAAGTCCTGGCTTTCTAACTTTCCTACTCTCTCTCTCTCTCTCTCTCTGTATCTCTCTGGTCAAATTAAAATAAATGAATAAAAATTTTTTTTTTTTAAAAAAAGGTTATTATAAGGCACATTTGAGTAATAAGAATTGCACCAAGTATAGCATCTGGCATATATAAATATTAGAAGTCAGCTATTTGTAGATTTGCATTGAAAGTTTTAATTTCAGAAAGGTGCCTGTTAAAACTTGCTAAGGGGGCAGGACCAGCAGTTAGCGTAATGGCTATGTCACTGACTTCCATGTAGTCGACTGCGGTTTGAGTCCTAGACCCAGTGGCTTAAACGCAGGCTGGGCGCATGTGCATGCATGCCCAAGATCCCCAGAGGAGAATGGAAAAGAAGGGATTGCGGTGTGGCCATCTCTCCTGGGGGAGTGATTTCTCGTTTTCTCTCTCTCTCTCTCTTTCTCTCTCTCTGTCTGGCAAGCGCACGCACCCTATAGCAAAAACCTCTCCAAAAGAAAAACTTGATAAGGGGCCAGCAGGTAAAGTGGTGGTTGAGGTATTGAACTCCCATATGGCTGACCGTGGTTCAAGTCCCAGACCTAGTGGCTTGCTTTCTCCCTTTCCTTCTCTCTCTGGTCGAATTAAAAGTTAAATAAATAATTCTTTAAAAAAATAAAAAAGCACTTGGTAAGAACGCTGAAGCCAGCAGGTGGTAATGATAGTTAAGGTGCTGCACTCCCACATGGCCGAACACAGTTCTAGTCCAGGACCCAGTGGCTTGAAAATCATCCTAGCCATGTGTACATGCATGCCCAGAATCCTAAGAGGAGGATGGAGGAAAAGGGATGGTGGCATGGCAATCCACCCTGGTGATGACCCCTGGGGGGAGGTCATTTCTCGTTTTCCTCTGTTTGTCTGAAGTGAATCATGTACCCTATGGCAAAAACCTAAAAAAAAAAAAGCAAGAACATTTATATAAAACCATTCTGAAAATAAGTGGATTTTGTTTGTTTTGGGATTTTGGTAAATGTTCTCTCTCTCTTTTTTTTTTTTTTTTAATTTTAAGGAGATTTTTTTGCTGGGACCAGCAGTTGGTGTAATAGCTATGTCGCTGGACTCCTGTGTTGTTGACCACAGTTTGATTCCTGGACCCAGTGGCTTACACTCATGTCCAGTGCATATGTGTGCGTGCCCAGGATCCCAAGAGGAGAATGGAGGAGACAGGATTGCATTGTGGCCATTCCTCCTGGGGTGTGATTTCTTGCTGTCTCTTTTTCTCTGTCTTTCTGGTGAGTGCACACGCCCTATAGCAAAAGCCTCTCCAAAAATAAAAAAAGATTTTTGCTATAGGATGCGTGCACTCACAGGAGAGGCAGAGAGAGATAGAGACAGAAAGTGAGAAATCACCCCCCAGGAGGGATGGGCACACTTGCCACCAGGTGAGTTATAAGCTACCAGGTCTAAGACTCAAACCACAGTCAACTACGTGGGAGTCTTCACCATCTGCTGTTCCCTGGAAATGTTAATAGAATTGATCAAGCAGTTGTAGGAGTTCATTGATGGGGCCCTCAGACTTGCCCACATACTGCCAATAGCATATGTTCCATTTTTATTCATAGTTGTTTTTTATTGTAAACTACAGGCTTTTTTTTTTCTCTATAGTAATGTTGCAGGTCAGTGGAATCCAGTTTTTATGCAGCCTTTGCCAGACGAAGAAATCGTCATCAGAGATGATCAAGACCCCAGAGTAAGCAATGCTAAAAGTATTACATAAGGGGATTATTTACCCTGATCATTTTCTTAAGAGGAACTGGTTGTATTGGTTGGGACTCCTTGAGCTGCATGTGACGGAATCCACCTAGAGCTATAAGAATTGATTTGAAGGAAGTTCAGAGTTTCCTGCCCTCAGTCATTGAATAATGGAATAATGCCTTCAGGACTTGGTCTTTTCTTTCTCTCTATTCTGTTTTTGTCCTTGTATGTCCCCCCCCCCCCCCCCCCCCCCCCCAGCTTGCCTTCTGTGAACTTGGCATCGCCAAAGGAAAGGGAGCAGCATCTCGTTCCAAGTCCTTTAATTGGCATTCTCTAGCCTAGCTTAAGTATTGGGCTAATTCCTGAACAGTCACTGATCAGAAATAGACTGTCCAGCCTAGGCCTTGCTATTACAGGGACTGGTGAAGTTAGTCAGATATGAATATGAGAAGAATAATTTTCCAAAGAAAGACAAGAGATTTGTCAGTAAAATGAGGAGATTGGATTTGGAGGAGGAGTCAAGTTGGTATATGTGCATAAATCAGGAAGATAAATTCCAGTAGAAGTATAGTCTATGAAAAAATTAAAAAGGTGATGTAAGAGAGGTCAATCTCCCCATTTTTCAGACACTCTTGGGGTAAATTGGAGAAAAAGCTTTCAGTTGATGCCTTATATTGAGATGCAACTAAACATTCATGGGATCTGGGTTTAAATAATGATTTTGAAGGAGCGGGAAACTCACTTTAAATATGCGAATTTGAAGATTTTATTGGTGGTAGTTAACTGCTCCGGTTAACAACTACTGGTACTTGGCTTTTGTCTGAAAGCCAGATCAAATACTGATTTTTTTCCTATCTTTTTTTGAGAGAGAGTTTTGTTATAGGGTGTATATGCTCACTGGAAAGACAGAGATAGAGACAAAAAGCGAAAAATCACCCCTCAGGGTGGATGGCCAGGTCGCAATCCTTCCTCCATTCTCACACGCACACACGCCCAGCATGATTTTTAAGCCACCATGTCCCAGACTTGAACCAAGGTTAGCCCTGTGGGAGTCAAGCAATGTAACCACTATGCCTTCTGCTTGTCCCCAAATGTCGATTATTAAAATCCTTGTGGTTTTTTTGCCTTTATTTTGGTCATTTTTTTGTCATCCATCAGAACCTCAGTAGAAGGAAACTTGAGTCAGATTTGCTGCTCGTTGGCAAATCTGGTGTATGAGATAGGGTTTAATGTAATTAAGAAATGTGAGACTCCATTTTATTCTTTCTACATTTCCTCACTTGTGAGAGCATAATTACTACATTTTGTTTTGTTTACATAAAACATCTACTATTGGTTCCTTTTATATTATGCTAGCCGTAAAATGAGTACTTCTATAGATGATGTAGGAACCAGCTTAATTGTTCTCTTTCCAGTGTATATCACCAATAAGCTAGATTCTCCTCTTCTTTCTAAGATGGGCCTTTGACAAGCCATGTTTTCCAGTGGAACCCAGCGAAGCACTCTACGAGTGCACCATTTTCAGTGTAGTTCTCCTAGTTGGATCAAAGATATGACAGTCTTCAGTTTCAACGTGAAGATATATAACCACATTCGTGCTTCTTGTTGCCCAGATGTACTGGGGGAGGGCAGAATGTCCCCATTCATGTATTAGTAAATCAAACTTTGGGGTTAATGTGTTGCATTCTTCCTTTAAATCCTTCCAAACTTTATTATTTTCAGAATATTAACTTTTGTTTTAATGTTCTAACAGGAGGTATATTTGCAGAATCTTTTTACACCAGGACGATTTACAAATGCAGCTTTATGTAAAGCTTTACAGGTCAGCAAAAAAATATTTGTTTAGTTAAGACTATTTCTTATTTTATTGTTATGTTGTGTGATAATTACTATTAATTTTGATTGTTTTACATATATTAAACACTAGACCTATTTCTGCACTTAAATAAACATGTGTTTGTAAATACTATCATAGTTGCTTTTTTTTTTTTTAAGAGATTTTCACTGCAGGGCATGTGCGCTCGCCAGACAGACAGAGACATAGAGACAGAAAGCGAGAAATCACCCCCCAGGGGGGATGGTCACGGCACAATCCCTTCTCCTCCATTCTCCTCTCGGGATCTTGGGCACACACGCACACGCTCCCGGTGTGAGTTTTAAGCCACCGGGTCCAGGACGCAAACCGCGGTCGACTACGTGGGAGTCCAGCGACATAGCCATTATGCTAACTGCTGGTTCCCTATCATAGTTTCTTTTAATGTTTTTTTTTTTTTTTTTCCATTAATTGAGATTTCTAATGTCCAGGTAGGGTAGAGGGCACTCTACCCTAATTTTAAAAAAAGAAACAAACATGTTTGTAAACTACATTGCATATAATCTCTATATTTAAATTCAATGTGTTTTTTTGGTTGTCACTGTTAGTTTTGTTTTGTTTTTAGAGAGAGATTTTTGCTATAGGGCAGGTGTGCTCACTGAAGAGAGAGAGAGAGACAGAAAGCAAGAAATCACCCTCTGGGAGTGCCCATGCTGACGTCTCTTCTCTATTCTCTCAGGATTTGGGGCACGCGCACACACACACCTGGCATGAGTTCCAAGCTGCCAGGTCCAGGAATTGAATTGCGGTCAACTACGTGGGAGTCCAGCGACTTAAACATTATGCCATCTGCTGGTCCCTGTTGCTATTAGTTTTGATTATATATATATGTGTGTGTGTGTGTGTGTGTGTGTGTGTGTGTGTGTGTGTGTGTGTATGTATTTGTTTTCTTTTTTCGGAGCGGTTTTTGCTATAGGGCGCGTGCACTCGCCAGACAGGCAGAGAGAGAGAGAGCGAGAAATCTCCCCCCAGGGGGGATGGCCATACCACAATCCATTCTCCTCCATTCTCCTCTCTGGATTTTGGGCACACATGCACCTGGCGTGAGTTTAAGCCAACAGATCGGGGACTCGAACCGCGGTCGACTACGTGGGAGTCCAGCGACATAGCCATTACGCTAACTGCTGGTCCCAGTTTTGATTATATTTTGTTTTAACCTTTTGTTTATATAGTGAAGGTTCTGACTTGGTTCAGGTTCAAGAAAACTTTTAAAATTTTAGCTTCAAAGTTGGCATTCCCTTTTGAAAAAGCAATGTAATACACTAAAGTTATATGTAATCCAACGTAATATAAAGAAGATTATGATGATAATTAAAAATAATTTTTTTAGTTTCAAAGTCATATTGGTTTAACAGATGCTTATTGCTTTACAAAAGGATTCTTTAAAATACCATATCCTTCCTCTAATTGCCACTTACCCTTGAGGATTTAAAGTACAATATTCATTCATAGAATTATTTCTGTAAAGAACAGATTTACTTTTGTAAAGCAGCCCTTCAGACTTTTGAGAGTCTGGGCCAGCCAGGTAGTGTGTGGTTAAGGCTGCTGGATTCACACAGCCAACTGCACTACGTGAGTCACTTTCCTGTACCCAGTGACTTGGAAAACATGCCCAGCACATGTGTGTGCATGCCCAAATTCCTAAGAAGAAAAGGAATTGCTTTTTTTTTTCTGATTTTATTTTATTATTCATTCATTTATTTTAATTTAACGAGAGAGAGACAGAGAGAAGGTGAGAAAGCAAGCCATCCAGTCCAGGACTCCAGCTGTGGTTGGCCTTTGGGAGCGTCCAGTGCCTTAACCACCATGCCACCTGCTGGTCCCCAAAAGGAATTGCTGTGTGATCATCTCTCCCTCCCCGACTCCCCACCCCGCGGTATTGTCTCACTTTCTCTGTTTCTCTGGCTTAGAACACAGCCCTGTGGCAAATTAAAGAGAAAAAAAAAAATCTTTACATATAGTGTCTCTCTAGACCAAGTATACCCAGATTCTTAACTTTTTCTTTTTTTTTAATTTTTAAATTATTTTATTTATTCACTCATTTATTTTAATTTGACCAGAAAGAGACAGACAGACAAAGAGAGAGAGGAAGCCACCAGGTCTGGGACTCGAACCATGGTTGGTCATGTGGGAGTGTCCAGCACCTTAACCACCATGCCACCTGCTGGCCCCCTTAACTTTTTCTTAAATGATGTGGTTTCCAGACCCCTTGCCATTTGTTCTAGGCATTCTTGACTACCTGGCTGTTTTTTGTTTCTGTTTTCTGTCTGATTAAAAACCTCAGGATGACATAGTCATCTTGCCCTAAGCTGTTTTTTCTTTCATCTCATTAGCAGTTCTTCCTCGTTAACACTTAACTGAATGCTTTTCTTTCGGTGAATTATGCCCAATAGAATGCTACTCCCATTCTTCATTATTCTGACTACCAGGATTGTGTCAATTTTAGGATGTATATATTTGACATCTATATTTTCTTTCTGACTGAGCAGTAGCAGTTATTTTACTTTTTGTAATACCTAAGTGTATTCTATTAAAATTTGTTTTTAAGGATTTATATAGTTTATTCTTGTCTATAGAAACTCTTCTTAAGTATTGCCATCGGGCACATGCACTCCCTGAAGGGAAGATACAGGGTTGGGAGGGAGTAAGAAATTGGACCACTAGGTTGTATGGTGGTTAAGGTGTTGGACTCCCACATGGCTGACTTTAGTTTAAGTCCTGGACTTGGCAGCTTGGTTTCTCACTGTCCCTCTCTGGTCAAATTAAATAATAATAAATTAAATCGTCAGAAAAAAAAAAAAAGTTGGAAATCTTCCTCCAGGGGAGATGGCCACTTTATAATCCCATCTCCATTCTCCTCTTGGGATCTTGGTACATAGGCTCACGTGCCTGGTGTGATTTTCAAGCCATAGGGTCCAGACCTGTGGACCATCCAGTCATCCACGTGGTATTCAGCTACCTCAAACTCCATAGAAACCATTTCAAAATTGGTATGATTTATCTTTCAGAGATTATTTGTGTTAGGGTAAATGTGTTATCAATGTGTGCCCAGCTTCTGTTTTATTGCCACAGTGCTTCCCAAACTGGACTTTTTTTTATAAATTTGCTCCAGGGCATATATATAAACCATGGAGAGAGAGAGAGAGAGAGAGAGAGAGAAAGAAAGAAAGCTACCAGGTCCAGGACTTTTAATTAACTTTTGGCTCTTATATAACTCTAAAATATCTCCTTTAATTTTAGATTTTCTGCCGAGGAACTGAGAGGAATTTGGATCTTTCCTGGAGTGAATTAAAGAAAGAAGTTACATTAGCTGTTGAGAGTGAGGTGAGGTTTTGGTAGGAAAAAAATGATTATTCCTTCTTTCTTGATGTAGGGCAGATTAATACTGAAGAATTATTGCAATTGCTTGCTTGACCTTTTAAGTAGAAAATATTATATAAGTGATCTTTTAGTTAGAATTGCATGAACATTTTTTTAGTCTATGGCATTTATTGCATAGAGAATATTCATTTGGCTATAGCTTAGTAAAATGATATTGCATAGAGAATATTCATTTGGCTATAGCTTAGTAAAATGATATTGGACATTCAAGTTTTTTGTGTGTGTGAAGAAAGATCATGAATGTTATCAAGTTTAATTTCTTTCTTTTCTTCTTTGCCAGCTCCAGGGAAGTGTAACAGAGTATGAATTCTCCCAGGAGGAGTTTCGTAATTTACAACAGGAATTCTGGTGCAAGTTCTATGCATGTTGTCTTCAGTATCAGGAAGCCCTCTCTCATCCTCTTGCCCTGCATTTGAATCCACACACGAACATGATGTGCCTGCTAAAAAAAGTAAGGGCTCTGAAGCATGAAGGACTCGGGGCAGCTCTGGGAGTCTTTCAGAATAGTAGTCTGGCAGGTGTTTTAATTAGCTTTTAGAACTTTGTAATTTTTTTACTCTAAAATTATATTGTATTTATATTAAAATTATCTTCTACATTATTATCTGTACTTATTAGCATGTCATCTTTTTTATATTTAGATACTTTTCAAACTTAAAAGTTAGAATAGGACAGGATCAGACCCATACCCTACTCGTTAAAGAAACCAGATTCTACATGGCCGACCATAGGTTCAAACCTCAACCTCACCTGCTTGAAAACACACCCGGTTTGTGTGTGTGCATGCCCCAAATGCAGTCAGGATAGAGCAATGGAGAAGAAGGGACTGTGGTGTACCTTTTACCCATTGAGGGCAAGAGGGATTCTTCCTCTCCCTGTTTTTCTCCTCTGGCGTTCACATGTGCTCACTGACAAAAGAAAAAGTAATATAAGGAAACTCTGGGAAACGCCAGGTGGCATGGTGGTTAAGGGCGCTAGACTTCCACGTGGCCAACCACAATTCAGGTCCCAGACCGGGTGGCTTGCTTCTCATACTCTCTCTCTCTCTCTCTCTCTCTCTCTGGTCAAATTAAAAATAAATAAAGTCAAACAAAATAATTCTTTAGGAGAAAAAAGAAGAAACTGTGTATACCCTTCACCCAGATTCATTACCTTCTATTTGTTTTTTGTTCTTGTTCTATAAAATATATTCTTTCTTACTGAGCCACTTGAGACATTATACTTCATCTTCCTTAAATATTTTAGCATATATCTAAGAGCAGGGATATTCTCTTAAATAATCACAGCACAATTTAAAAATCATGCAATTTGGTATTAATATACCATGTAGCTTATATTTAAATTTTACCAATTATGCCCTTAATTTTTCTTTCTGGTCCAGGGCTAATCTAAGATCTTACATATAGTTAGTTATTGTGTTTATAATCTCAAATTATTATCAATTTTTCTGTCATTTATGATAGTGACTATTTTAATACCATGTTAGGTTTTTGTTATCGGGCACATGCACTTGCCAGAGGGAGAGACAGACAGAGAGAGGGAAAGTGAGAAATCATCCCCAGGAGTGATGGTCATGCCACAATCCCTTCTCCATTCTCCTCTCAGGATTTGGGGCATGCATGCATATGCACCCAGCATGATTTTCACTGCTGGGTCTAGGACTCAACTCATCGTCAGCCACGTAGGAGTCTGGAGCTTTAACCACCATGCCACCTGTTGGCCCTTTTTAATACGATTTTATAGCATGTCCCTCAGCTTGGGTTCATGTGGTGTTTTCCATGATACTACTAGTGTCTCAATTACTTTGTACCTTTAAAAATTCACTGAAAAATATGTAACTAAAAGATTTATGTTTCCAGGGATACCTGTCTTTCCTTGTGCCCTCCTCCTTAGTGGATCATTTGTATCTCCTGCCTGATGAGAATCTTTTGACAGAGGATGAGACAACCATATCTGATGGTAATAGTAATTTTTATGTCTACATTTAATCTCCTGTCTAAATGAATCCTATGCTTTGTTTCACATGGATGCAAAAATCATTGACTGCCTCTGTGACCTGTCCTGGGCAGTTTACCACATTATTTATTGCATGAACAAGAAAGAGAGGGAGATAAAGCACCCCTCAAAAGGTCCCAGTGCCACATTCCATCACAGTCTTAGCCAGTCTGGATCATGGGCACATGTATGCTTGGTGTACTGAGGGAGGCCTGCCCATATGGGTCTGCCTCACAAATAATCGTGTTTATCACTGTGCCACCATCCAGCCCCTCACATTGTAGGTAATTTAGGGAAAACTGGAGAGGCCTAAGCATCTCTGAAACCTCAGGTAGCTCCCTTGGTAAAGATTGTAGGTATATCTAGTATTAATACCTAATCAATAGATCTGCACTCATTCAAGACAGAAATGTTAACTTTCTCTTACTCCTAGATGTGGATGTTGCTCGGGATGTCATATGTCTTATAAAATGCCTCCGGCTGATTGGAGAGTCAGTAACTACAGATATGTCAGTTATGATGGAAATGAGTTGTTTCAACGTCCAGTCTCCAGAGAAAGCTGCAGAACAGATACTGGAAGATTTGATCACTATTGATGTGTAAGGAGAATTTAGGGTAAAGTGCATTTCCTAATGGAAATTCAGCAGTTTTTAATGCCAAAGTGTCTTTTTTATTATTTATTTAAGTACGTACAAAACGGGCCTAAAGTTAAAGTCATTTGCTGTGATTCTAAATAGATATTTCAGCTTTTTGTTGTTGTTGTATAGGGCATATGGGTTTGCCAGAGAGAAAAAGAAAGGAAAATACCACCACCCACCCCCAGGAGGGGTGTCCATGCCACAGTCTCTTCTCCATTCTCTTCTTGACATTTTGGGCATGCATACAAACCTTTCCACCATGTTTTTCAGGGCTTTGGGTCCAGGACTCAAACTGCACCATCAGCCACGTGGGATCCAGCTTAACCTTAACCACTATACCACCTGGCTGGCCCTATATTTCATCTTTTCAGCAGAAAATCTAACACATGATTTCAGGTCTGCAGATTCATGAAACATGATATAGTGGGCCAGCCAATAGCATGGTGGTTAAGGCAGCTGGGTCCCACATGGCTGATTTAGACAGTTCAAATCCTGGATCTGGCTCCTTGGAAAACACTCAAGTGCGTATGCATGTGTGCCCAAAATCCCAAAATGAGAGAGAAATAGAGGAGAAAGGATTATAGTGTCACCAGCACTCTGAGGGAGTGCTTTCTTCTCTCCCTAGTGAGTGCATGCGCACTCTCTGGCAAAAATTAAGGAAAAAAAAAAATGATGTAGCTATTAACTTTTTTTTTAAAGATATTTTTTTTTAATTTGCTATAAAGCTTGTGTATTTACCAGAGATAGAGGGAAAGCAAGAAAGCAAAGTTGCCAGGTCCAGGACTCAAACCATGGTTGGCCATGTGGGGGTCCAACATCCTAAACCCCAGCTGCTGTCCCCAATATAGCTGTTAAAATTTTTTTAATTTAACTTTATTTATTATTATTAGTGCTATTATTTAATTTGCTGTAGGTTGATATGAGCTCACCAGAGAGAGAGACACACACACACAGAGAAAGAAATCAAGCCTCCAGGTCCTAAACTTGAACCATGGTCAGCCATGTGGGAGTCCAGAATCTCAACCATCGCACCACTTGCTGACCCAGTAGCTATTAACTTACCTGAGGTATAAATCCAAAAACGTTTAAGTATTTTCTTCATGTTTGCTTTTTCTGTTATTTATGAAAAATTGAGAGAAACTCTGTCAAGTGAAGTGAAAGTATACCAGAGTGATTATCTCCAGTTCTTTATTTTGTGACTCTTCTTGTTTCATAGGCAATTTGCTTATTGGACATATCAATTTAACTTTATGAATTGTCAATAGTAATAGGCATTTTCTATTGCCTTTATAGAGAAAATGTGATGGAGGATATTTATAGTAAATTACAGGAGATCAGGAACCCAATCCATGCCATTGGACTTCTTATACGAGAAATGGATTATGAAACAGAAGTAGAGTTGGAAAAAGGATTCAATCCAGGTAAATGGCAAAACAATAAATGTGCCTGTTTGACTTAGAGGAAACTGCTACGTTGACCTCCATTTTCTTCTTACAGCTCAGCCTTTGAATATTCGAATGAATCTTTCCCAGCTCTATGGCGGTAGCACTGCTGGGTATATTGTATGCAGAGGTGTGTGTAAAATCGCCAGTACTCGGTTCCTGATCTGCCGAGACCTCTTGATCTTACAGCAGCTATTAATGAGGCTGGGAGATGCAGTAAGTACTCATGAGGGAAAGCTTTTTCAGGCTGGCCTTCCCAAATTTAATATTAGTAGTACTACTCTGAATGCGAGAGGAGGGTACCATTTAGTGTGGAGCAGAGAGGAAGAGGAAGAAAAAGCACTCCACTTTATGCAATGAAGGGCTTACTCCAAGTATAATTTTGAGATTGTAAGTTTGTCTTTGTGATCCTCCCAACTCCTTTATGTTCTTTCTTTTCCATCCATTTCTTTCTTTCTTTTTTTTTTTTTTTTTTTAATTTAAGAGGTTTTTGATAAAGGGTGCATGCGCTCACTAGAAAGACAGACAGAAAATGAGAAATCACCCTCCAGGGTGGATGGCCACGCCGCAATCCCTGCTCCATTCTCTCAGGATCTTAGGCATGCACGCAAACGTGCACACGTGCCCAGCGTGAGTTTAAGCCACCGGCTCCGGGACTCGAACCACAGTCAACTACATGGGAGTCCAGTTACATAACCGTTATGCTAACTGCTGGTCCCTCCATCCATTTCTTCTCACACCTCCAGATTTTGAGGCCAGCAAATGGAGTGGTGGTTAAGGCGCTGGACTCACACACAGCTGACTGTGGTTCAAGTCTGGGACCTGATATCTTGCTGTCCCTCTCTATTTCTCTCTTATAGCAAATTTAAAAATAATAATAATAAATACATAATTCTTTTCTTTCAGTAATGACTTTTCAGGGCTGGCAAGTAGCATGGTGGTTAAGGCGCTGGACTCCCCCATAGCCAACCACGGTTCAAGTCCTGGACCTTGCGGCTTGGTCTCTCTCTCTCTTCCTGCTCAAATTTAAAAAAATAATAACAATAAATAAAATTAATTCTTAAAAAAATAAAAAAGGCTTTTATGCCCACAATCAAAAGTCAAATTTGTCTCAGAATTCATAATCCCAGTTGAACCTGGCAAGGAAACAATCTGATTAAACCAATTCATGTTGGGCCTGCAGGTGGTGTGACAGTTAAGGCCTCTGGATCCCACATGGCCAGCTGCACGGTTTGAGTTTTGGGCCCAGCATCTTGAAAAACACATCAGGCATGTGTGCGTGCATTCTCAATATCCCAAGAGAAGAATGGAGGACAAGGAATTGTGGTGTGGCCATCCCCCATGGGGTTTTGTATCCTATAGCAAAATAAAAAATAGTAATAATAATACGTAAATAGTCAAAAGACCTTTGGGGTTCCCAGAGGCATTTATACTTTTGTATTTTGCTCTAGGGTGGGTATGCTCACCTTAGACAAGGAGACAGGAAAGGTCAGAAATTGTCCCATTGACATGACCACACCACAGTCCCTTTTTCATTCTCATTTCGGGATTTGGGGTGCACATGTACCCAGTGTGTTTTTTAAGCTACCAGGTCTAAGACTTGAACTGTGAAGTCAACTGTGTGGGATCCAGCCACCTTAACCTCTATGTAAACCTGTTGGCCTGAGACATTTATACTCATTTATTTTTTTTGAAGAATTACTTTAGGGGACCAGCAGGTGGCATAGCAGTTGCCATCACTGGACTCCCAAGTAGTTGACTATGGTTTGAGTCCGGACTCTGCAGCTTAACACTCATACCGGGCATGTGTGTGTGTGCATGTCCAAAATCCCAAGAGGAGAATATAGGAAAAGGGATTGCAGTGTGCCATTCCCCGCTAGGGGTTGATTTTTCACTTTCTGTCTCTCTGTCTGTCTCTCTTGTGAGTGCATGCTCCCTATAGCAAATATCTCTTAAAAATTATAGTTTTATTTATTAGTATCATTACTATTATTTTAATAAAAAAATCTCTCAAAAAAAAAAAGTAATTCATTGTACAACCTTTTGGAAATATATGTAGGCAAAAATGAATATCTAGAGACCAGCAGATGGCATAGCAATTACATTACTAGACTCTCCCACATGGCCAACTGCAGTTAGAGTCCCAGACCCAGTGGCTTCAAAATCACACCAGGCGTGCGTGTGTGCTTGCCCAGGATACCAGGAGGGGGATGGAGAAGAAGGGATTGTGGCATGGCCACCCTGGGGGATGAGTTCTCACTTTCCCCCTTTCCCCTCACTGTCTCTGTCCTTCCCTTTCCAGCACGCATATGTCCTAAGGCCAAAACTTCTTTTAAAAAAATTCTATAATCTCCTAGCCAGTAATAACCACTATTTATATTTGGGTATATATATCCTTTCTCTCTATGAAAATAGTTTCTTGGTTCTTTTATAAAATTGAAATACACTACATAGTGTTTCTTGTTATCTTTTTTCCTTTTAAATTCTTTTTTATTATTTATTTATTCATTCATTCAAATGATTTTAATTTTACCGGAGAGAAACAGATAGAGGGCAAGCGAGACAGCACACCATCAGGTCCGGGACTTGAACCTTGGCTGGCCATGTGAGAATCTCCAGCATCTCAACCGTCTCGCCACCTGTTGACTTCATTTTTTTTTCTTTTTTCTTTTTTTTTTGAAGATTTTTTTGCTACAGGGCTAGTGCACTTGCTCAGAGACACAGAGACAGAAAGCAAGAACTCAACCCCCAAGGGGGATGGCCACACCGCAATTCCTTCTCCAGTTTCCTCTCAGGTATTTGGGCACACATGCACACATGCCTGGCGTGAGTTTTAAGCCACCAGGTCCAGGACTTGAACCGTGGTCAACTATTTGGGAGTCCAGCAACATAACCATTATGCTATCTGCTGGTTCCATAATCTGGTTGTTTTTACTCTTATACTTTATAAATCTCATCATATTTTCTCATGTTATATATTCTACAGTATTATTATTTTTAAGAATTTTTAATTTAATTTTATTTATTATTATTTTTAAAGAATTATTTTATTTAACTTTATTTATTTGTTTTCACTTGACCAGAGAGTGACAGAGTTGGGCAGAGGTGAGAAAGCAAGCCATGAGGTTCAAGACTCAAACCGCAGTAAGACATGTGGAAGTCCAGCACCCTTAACCACCATGCCACCAGTCCACCCCTTATTTAGTTATTTTTTAAAGGCCAGAAAGTCTTTATTGCAATAAATTATTCCAATGAGTTATGTGAGAAACTGTGCATCAGTTGGTTAGGGCAGTGAGAGCCTCTACCACATTGCCATTGTGTTCTTGCAAGTTCCATTCTGCTTTCCTTGAGAGATTTCCTTCTCTGTCATAATCAGTTCCAGATCTTCCTTCTTGATTGTTACTTTCGCCAGTTCGTTCTCCCATTCCTGTTTGGCTTTCTGCTCCTGGGACCTTCTGTTTCCAGTGGCAGACATGGCCATCTCCAGGTTGAACTCTGGATTTCCTTTTCCTGTGCAGTCAGTAATGTGCTCTAAGTCTGCCGCAACTGTCATGCTTTCGTGGCTTCTCAGGGGGCTGTTCCATCTCCAAACCAGCTCCATATCCCCCTCAGTCGCCATATCAATGCCACCACACCGCTCCATAAGCTCCTTGTTTATATGTTTGTTTGATTAATTTTAAAGAATTATTTAATTTAATTAATTAATTAATTTTTTAGTTTGACCAAAGAGAAACAGAGTGAGTTGGGAGCAGAACAAGCCACCAGGTCTGGGACTCAAACCGCAGTCGGCCCTGTAGGAGCCCAGCATCCTAAACCACCACGACCCCTGCTAGCCCTGTTTTAAAAAATGTTCTACAAGTCCTGTGCACTCACCAGAGAGAGACAGAGAAAGAGCTGGAAAACCAGAGGGGAAACCTCCAGGTCCAGGACTCAAACTGTGGTTAGTTAGCCTTGTGGAAGTCCATTGCCTTAACCAGCACGCCACCTGCTGGCCCTCACAGTGTTATTTTTAATAGTTATGCAGTATGGGCCAGCTTTGTGGCCTGGTGGTTAGTGGAGCTAGATCCTACATGGCTGACTGTTCAGTTCAAATCCCAGCCCCGGTAGCTTGATACATGCCTGCCCAAAATCCCAATGGGGTAGAGAAATAGAGAAGAAGAAACATCCTACTACCAGGTGCTTTCTCCCTCTCCTTTCCTTTGTCTCTCTAGGGAGTCACATACCTACTATAAAATGTTTAAAAACAAAACTAAATAGTTACCAAACATTTTTAACTTACTCTGTCAATCCACTTTCTGGCCATCCAGCTAGTTGCCAGCTTTTCCATTGTAACTCTGATTTTCTGTAAATCTCTGATTATATCTCTAGGATAAAATCTAAGAATTAAAATTGATTGGTCACAGGATATGCATATTTTTAAAGGCTCTGACAGTTGTGCCAAATTTGCATCTAATGGCCACACCTATTTTTTACCTAACACCAGCAGTGTAAGAATGGATTTAGATTTCCCTGTTCGTCAGTCCTGAACCCACAGACTTCATGAAAATAAAGCTTTTGTGGGAACCAGCAGTTAGCGTAATGGCTATGTCGCTGGACTCCCACGTAGTTGACCGCGGTTCGCATCCCGGACCCGGTGGCTTAAAACTCACGCCAGGCACATGTGCGTGCGTGCCCAAGATCCCAGGAGGAGAATGGAGGAGAAGGGATTGCGGCGTGACAATCCCCTCTGGGGGGTGATTTCTCGCTTTCTGTCTCTATGTCTCTCTGTCTGTCTGGCGATTGCACGCGCCCTATAGCGAAAACCTCTCCAAAAAAATATAAAAATAAAAAATAAAGCTTTTGTGTTTGATTTCTTTTGCACTATCAACTCCCATCACTTGATGAGAGCTGTTTTAAATTATTTTTGGAATGCTGATGCTTGAGAAGACATTTTATTTTACTCCACCTGAACTCTAAGAGTTATCATCACTGGGGCCAGGAGGTGGCATGGTGATTAAGGCACTGGACTCTCACATGACCAATTGCAGTTCACGTCCTGGACCTGGCGGCTTGCTTTCTCACTTTCTTTTTCTTTCTCCCTCTCTCTCCAGTCAAACTAAAAAATAATAAAAATAAATATTTAATTTTGTTGTTATTTTTAAAATTTGACTGGAGAGAGATGGACAGTGAGCAAGCAAGCCACCAGGTCTGGTAGTTGAACCGTGGTCAGCCATGTTGGAGTCCAGCGCCTCAACCACCATGCTAGCCCCAATAATAATTTTTTTTTTTAATGAAATGGGGTACCTGTCTGTCTCTCATGAAATAAATAAACTTAAAAAAAGAAAAAAAAGAAGTTACCACCACTAATTGCTGCTGCTTGCCATTTTGCCTGCCCACCCTATATAGGTGATTTTTGGAGCTGGTCAGCTCTTCCAAGCTCAGCAAGACCTACTACATCGAACTGCACCACTGCTCTTATCTTACTACCTTATTAAGTGGGGAAGTCAGTGCTTAGCAACGGATGTTCCTGTTGACACACTGTGAGTTTCATTATCCTAATTGTTTAAAAAATAAATTGTGAGTCTAATTATTTTTCATTGACTTAAATGGAAAACAGTTTAACATACTATAAAATTATCTGCCTTTAAAACTCAAAGAGCTTTTAGATGTTCTATTTTCTAAAGGTTGAAGCCAACTTACAAGAATGTAAATAGTAAATATTTATTTATCATTACCTATATAATTATTATGTATTTTATGTGTGTGTGTAACATTACAGATAAATCACATTGAAGGCAAAATAATAAGATGAAGCCAGAGGGAAAGCGAGACCATACACAAATATGCTTTGCAAGATTCTTGTTTTCATTAAAATAAACCATCGTGTTTGCTCTTGTTCTTCATTGAATGATCACTGAGTGACATGATGGGCAGCTGTCCAAATTATGACGTTTTTCTAGTTTTCATTATGTTTGCAATAGAGATTTTATGTGCAGTTTATTAATTGACAGTGTTAGTAGGTTAACGTGCAGGATAATATTTGACATAGACGAATTTATTAAGCTGCATTTTTCCCCTCTTCTTACAGGGAGTCTAATCTCCAGCACTTATCCGTATTGGAACTAACTGACTCTGGTGCTTTAATGGCAAATAAGTTTGGTAAGGACTATGACTGCATACACAGTGATTTTAAATTGGGGATTTATGGAATGTTCCTTAAATTTGTTGCTGCCTTGGGGCTGGCAGGTGGCATAGTGGTTGGGGGCACTGGATTCCCACATCGCTGACTACGGTTCAAATCTCAGACCTGGTGGCTTGCTCTCTCACTTTTTCTCTTTCTCTCTCTTATTCTGTCCTCCTTTGGCCAGAATTACAGTAAATAAAATTAAATATAAAAAAAAATTTTTTGTTGCCTTCACTTGGGGAAGGTTGACAGGGCCGTTTGCTTTGGCTTTGAGAGCACTTAAGCCAGTTGTAGCCTCAGCTCTCTGGTGGCAAGGGGTCAGCGAAGCTATAGTCCTAGATCAGGCATAACTGAAAGATGTTGTACATGGGGCCGGAAAGTGGCTTGGTGGTTAAGGTACTGGCCTCAGACATGGCCGTCCACAGTTCGAGTCTCAGACCTGGTGAGTTGAAAATCATACCAGGTCCATGTGTCCAAAACCCCAGGAGGAGAATGAAGGAAAAGGGATTGTAGTGTTGCCATCTTTCCAGGGGAAGGGGGTGGTGATTTCTCACTTTCCCTCTTACTTTCTGTCTACAGTAATCACGTGTACCTTATGGCACAAACCTTACATTAAAAAAAAAAATGTTGGACGTGTATATATTGTTGCCCCTCCGTTATTTGGTGCTCCAGTTATTTAACAAAAGTATTTCATAGTTCCTAAATTCATAGTAGTTTTTATAATCTTGTCTTAGTCAACAGATATTTAAAAGGAAAACCATTAAAACCATTACATTTTTAAAGAATTATTTTATTTAACTTTATTTATTTATTCATTTGTTTATTTCAATTTGACCAGAGAGGAACAGAGAGAGAGAGAAAGTGAGAGAAAGAAAACTGCCAGGTCCAGTACTCAAACCAGGGTCGGCCATGTGGGAATCCAGCACCTTTACCCACCTTGCTACCTGCCAGTCCCAGAAACTATTATTTTAGGGAATGTATTTTGAATTGTTTTGGTATAAAGCTTGAAATCTTGGGACTAATTGTATGAGAGGACTTTAAAAAGTTAATGGAAAATTGGAATTAAAGTATGAGTTTATTTTGGTACAGACTTTTTTTTTTTTTTTTTTTTTGAAATCCATTCATAGTTGTAATTTCTTTTCCCTCAGAATGTACATGTTCTCATAACTTTTTGAAGGCCCCTTGTATTTTAGTTTTTAGAAAAGGCACTTTGGGAGGCCAGCAGATGATGTGGTGACTAAGGTCCTAGACTCCCACATGGCCAACTGGTTCGAGTTCTAGACCCAGTGGCTTGGTTTCTCACTTTCCCTCTCTCTTTCTTCCTGGTGACCATGTGTGACCTATAGTAAATTAAAAGATAATAATGATAAAATTAAATTTCTTAGTAAAAAAAGAAAGAAAAAGCACTTAGATGTGGTGCATTAGTGAAAAGAAATGACTGCAGTATTTGTTTAAGTGACTTTTTAAATTGTATTTGTGTAGTACTGTCCAGTTTACAAACTACTTTTATTTGTATTCCTACCAATTATACCCATGATGCTTTTTCTGTTTAGAAATGGTAAGTGATCTCCGTTAGAGGCTTAATGAATTAGTAGACTGTCTTGATAGAAAATTGATTCTATGGGACTGGCAGGTGGTATGGTGGTTAAAGGCACTGGATTCCCACATGGCTAACCATGGTTTGAGTCCTGGACCTGGAGGCTCGTGCATTCTCTCTCTCTCTCTCTCTCTCTCTCTCTCTCTCTCTGTGTGTGTGTGTGTCTTGTCAAATTTAAAAAAATAATAACAAATGGAATTAATTCTTTGAAAAGGAAATTGATTCTACTATCATAAGTTTGTGATTGTCATAATTTTTTTTTTAAGTATCTAGCCCTCAGACAATTGTGGAATTATTCTTCCAAGAAGTTGCAAGAAAACACATTATATCTCATCTCTTCTCTCAACCAAAGGCACCTTTGAGCCAAACTGGATTGAATTGGCCTGAAATGATTTCTGCAATTACCAATTATTTATTGCAGCTTTTGTATCCTTTTATTTAAAGGCTTTTTGAAAGTATTCTGCTGTTTAAATAGTTTAAGGCTTTTATTCTCACTGCAAAATGAAGATTTTTAAAAATGAGATTGGGGGCATACTCCTTAAACAAGAGAAAATATTTTCAGATATTATCCCGCTGTTACTTTGTTTCTAGCTTAAAAGTGACCAAGATTTTACTGGCATACACACATTTGATACCTAGACCCCTGTTAAGACATTAATCCACCAAGTATTTCTTAAATGGCTCTCTATGCCAGAGTCTGTTAGGAGCTGGATTGTCCACTTGTACCAACATGTATCCACAGTGCAACCAGCTGGACTTGGAATTGACCACTCATGGATAAAACACATGCTTTCAGGACCAACAGTTGGCATAATGGCTATGTCACTGGACTTCCATGTAGTTGGCCGCAGTTTGAGTCCCAGACCTGGTGGCTTAAAACTCGCCAGGCGCGTGTGCGTGCGTGCCTAAGATCCTGAGAGAAGAATGGAAAAGAAGAGATTGCGGTTTGGCCATCCCCCCTGGGGGGTGATTTCTCGCTTTCTGTCTCTCTCTGTCTTTCCAGCGAGAACACACGCCCTATAGCAAAAACCTCTCCGAAAAAACAAAACAAAACAACCCACATACTTTCATCCCATGTTTGAGTTCTAAGCTGGGTAACAAGTCTCCTAGCATACATAGAACATTTTCACTGAATTTGTCTAATTAAGGAATATGGTGATAAGGAAAGAACATGGCCTTGGCTACCTTTTCTTTACTTTCTTTTTTTTTTTTTTTTTTTAATATTTTAACTATTCTCTGTGCTTTTCTGACTTTGATGCCCATGTGTATATTTAACTTTTGCCAAAAATGGTTAAAAACAAAACAAAACAATAAAACTCCTTATCCAGTGACAGATGGCCTAGCAATCCTGGTTGTCTCTTTCTAGAATGTTTGATGGGAAATTGTCAGTATGTACAATTGCAGGTGAGTTCTACTGAACATTTCAGGCTTAATCATTCTTAGGAAGAATGGGATTGCTGCAATATGTTTTTTTCTTAACGTTAACTGCATTTTAGTTAAATTGATAATAAAAACCACAATTACTTAAACTTTTTTACACTAAAAGATTTTTCAAAGAGATTTCTCTACTTGGCTCTTGATGTTATCATTTCGAACATAATTTTTTTAATTTTCTCTTCTAGTTGTGGTTTTTTTTTTTTTTCTTCATATAAATCCTTGGCTGGAATCTGCTCATTAAAACAGTAATACCAAAAATTGGAAAATCGCTTTAATATAAAGTGTATATTTCTAGACTCTTGTCTTCTCAAGATGCCTAACCTTGTATATAAATATATTAAGATTAGTTTTAATCTCCAAATGGAGATTTTATTTGGAAATAAAACTTTTTCTCTCTCTCTGTGGAAATGAGTATATCCTGAGTAGTGTTTGTTTTCTAACTAGAATGTACCTTTTATGCCTTTAAGAATTATATTCAACTGCTAAATCCCTGGTGTCAAGTCAACGTCGGTTCCTGTCGATTTATGCTGGGACGGTGTTACCTAGTTACAGGAGAAGGACAGAAGGTAAACTACATTTGAGTGATGAATAAAGTTTAGTGAGAGAAAGACACTTAGTTTCAGTCAGACTACGTTGTAGTGGGTTGGAAGCATAGGCTTCTTTAGATAAGGATAAAAAAAGACTGTACTAGTGCCAGTGTAGGGAATCATACACATTTAGGACCATTCAGCCTCTTGTATTTTGCGACTTAGTGCATAAGAAAACATTAAAGTCTTCCACCTCTTGTAGATATTTTAGGGATGAATTATTTCTAAAAGAATTATTTTATTTAACTTGTTTTTTTATTTTAACTTGACCAGAGAGGGTCAGAGTGAGAGAGAGCAAGCCACCAGGTCTAGTACTTGAACCATAGTCAGTCATGTGGGAGTCCAGCATCCTTAATCATCACACCACCTGTTGGATCCAGAATGAATATTTATTTTATTTATTTTTTTTTTTTGAGAGATTTTCACTGTAGGGCGCGTGCGCTCACCAGACAGACAGAGAGAGACATAGAGACAGAAAGCGAGAAATCACCCCCCAGGGGGGATGGTCACGCCGCAATCCCTTCTCCTCCATTCTCCTCTCGGGATCTTGGGCATGCACGCACACGCGCCCAGCGTGAGTTTTAAGCCACCGGGTCCGGGACGTGAACCGCGGTCGACTACGTGGTAGTCCAGCGACATAGCCATTACACTAACTGCTGGTTCCCCAGAATGAATATTTTTTTAATTCAAATTAATTTATTAAATTTTTTAAAAAGTTTTTTTCCATAGGGTGTGTGCACTCACCTGAGACAGACTTTTTTAAAGAGAAATTACCCCATTGGAGAATGGCCATACCACAATCCCTTCTCCATTTTCCTGGGATTTTAGGCATGTTCGCACATGTGCCCAGGATGTTAGTCATACTACCAGGTCCAGACTCGAACCACAGTTGGTCATGTGGGGGAGTTCAGCCCCTTAACCCCTATGCCACAGGCTAGCCTCAACTTATTAATTTTTTATTACATCTTTTTTGTTTTATTCTGCATTTTTCTTCATCATTAGTAGTTTACATTTAAAATATTTTTCCTTGACATCCTATTATATAAATTTTCAAACAGTTTAAAGACTTTTATGGTAAACAATCGTATACCCACTACTCAAATTCTACATTTAACATGTTACTATAGTTTTATTGTCCCTCTGCCTATTTATCAGTCATGTTATCAAAGTGTACTTTTTAATTAATATTTAAATTGAAAATTAGCTAAATTAGAGAAAAATATGAAGTAATATATCAGATGGAATTTGTTAAACCATGTATTCATTTATTTATCTATTTATTTGTTGTGACTTTCAATCTTATAGGTCTGGGTCTTAAACCACAGTCGGCCATGTGGGAATCCAGCACCTTAACCACCACATAACTTGCTGGCCCCATCAGATAGAATAGGGTAAAAATCGTGAATGTATTGGGACCAGCAGATGGCATAATGGTTATATCACTGGATTCCCATGTAGTGGACCATGGTTCAAGTCCCAGACCCAGCAGCTTAAAATTCACCCTGGGAGTGTGTGGCGTGCATGACCAAGATTCTAGGAGGAGGAGGAGGAGCATGGAGAAAGGATCACTGCATGGCCATCCCCGGGGGTGATTTCTCACTTTTCATCTCTGTCTCTTGGGCTAGTACATGTGCCCTGTGGCAAAAATCTCTCTTAAACAAAACAAAAAGAAAGAAAGAAAGAACGAAATTGTGAATATATTAATAGTAGACTATCTTATAATTTTTTTTGTTTGGCTTTGCTTAACACATAATGCCCTGATTTATGGCTCCTAGCATTGGTACTGTAGATGAAATAGAATAATATAAGGGACTTTTTTTTTTTTTTTTTTTCCCACTTTTTATTCTTTCATTTCTCCAGGCTCTGCAGTGTTTCTGTCAGGCAGCATCTGAAGTGGGCAAAGAGGAATTCTTGGACCGCTTGATCCGCTCAGAAGATGGGGAGATTGTGTCCACCCCCAGGCTGCAATATTACGATAAGGTACATCATTACTTCTTACACCACCCCGTGTAATAATGCATCTGAAATACGTTGCTTTTTCTGGAGAAAAATACTAGAAGAGGAAAAAAATGTATTTGCCTAGAGAAATTGAATTTTTATTTGAATTTGATAAGTGCTTTTAACCTAAGTGAATTCCTACCATGATATCACATTATTAGCTCCGTCACTGTAAAATTTTATTATTTAATTTATACTTTTTTTTTTTTAAGATGTTTTTACCTTAGGGCACATGTGCTCACAGGAGAGAGACATTCTGAGAGGCTAAGTGAGAAATCACCTCAGGCAGATGGCCACACCGAAATCCATTTTCCTTCCAGGATCTTGGGTATAAAAAATCACGAGCCTCGTATGGTTTTGAAGTCACCAGGTTTGGGACTTAAGCCACAGTCAGCCATGTGGGAGTCCAGTGATTTATTTAACTGTTGCACCATCTGCTGGTCCCAATTTATACTTTTTTTTTTAAGGTTTATTTATTTAATTCCATTTGTTGTTATTTTTAAATTTGACCAGACAGAGAGAAGGGGAAAGCAAGAAAATAAGCCACCAGGCCCGGGACTCGAAACTTAGTTGTCCACATGGGAATCCAGAATCCTTAAGCACCACGCCACCTGCTGGCCCTCCAATTATACTTCTTTAGTCTTGTGGATACCTCAGAGAATTAATTAGTACTACCTATACAAGGGATCTTCCCAGAGTTCATGGAAAATATTTATTATAAAAAGTTGCATGGATTTCGTAATTTTTCTGCCCCAAATAAACTTGTACTTTAATACCATTTTTTTCCCCAACTTTTTTTGTTGGTTTTTTTTTTGGAGAGATTTCTTCTAAAGGGCTCTGTGCTCCCCAGAGAAACAGAAAGCGAGAAATCACCCTCCTCCCCCCCAGAGGCGGGGATAACCACACTGCAGTCCCTTCTCCTCCAGTCTCCTCTCAGGATTTTGGGAATGCATATACACACGCCCAGCATGAGTTTAAGCCACTGGGTTCAGTACTCAAACTACAATCAATTACGTGGGAGTCCAGTGATGTGACCATTATACCATCTGCTGGACCCTCCCCCAACTTTTTTAAAGTCGCCCTGTGTTTAGTTTGTGATTTGGCCTGGCCCTGGAGTACCCCCTTGTGCCCTTTGTTCTGCTTCCCCCTCTTCCCTCCGGTCTCCCAGCTATAACATTGGCCTTCTTCCTGACAAGTCACTGTGTGCTCTGTTCTCGTCAGGGTCTTCCTGCCTGCTATTCCCTTGGCTTGCAATGTTCTTTCTCACTCTCATTTCAGAGGAGTCTCTGCTCATGTGTCTCCTTGTCAGAGAGTGAGTTCCCCACTACCTGGCCTGTATAAAATAGCTCTGTGTGCCACCATGTGTGTTTACTCTCTCTCCCTTGAGCACATACGCAGTGTGTGCCCTGCACTCTTTCTTTACACCATTTACCCAAATTTGATGTTTTATTTTAGACTTCTTTTATTTGGATTTCTACCAAAATTGCCACAATGTCAGTCTTCACTGTTTTGTTTCTTGCTTATTGGATAAGTGAATTTATACTGAAATAGATTTGTAGCTCTTAATGACCTACCATCCATTATTGAGAAAATAATTTCATAAGGATTTGGGTGGTTTTAGTTTTGTGTCTTTTTTTTTTTTAAGATCTTAATTGGCTTTTATTTGAGATCCTTGAATTGGCAGCACTTCATGCTATAAAATAGAGTAAGTGTTCTCGTAAATAAGAATTTTAATCCAAGGTCAGATGGATTTAAGGAATACATGAATCCCCTGAAATTGTGTACACAGTGTTTGTATTTTTTTTTTTTCTTTTTTTGAGAGGTTTTGCTATAGGGTGCATGTGCTCACCAGATAGACAGATAGAGACAGAAAGCGAGAAATCACCCGCCAGAGGGGATGGCCACACTGCAATCCCTTCTCCTCCATTCTCCTCTAGGGATCTTGGGCACGCACGCACACACATGCACCCAGTGTGAGTTTAAGCCACTGGGTCCAGGAATCACGCCATGGTTGACTACATGGGAGTTTAGCGACATAGCCATTATGCCAGCTGCTCGTCTCAATATTTGTATTTTTTTCTATGGAGAACCTGGATAGTTTTCATTGGAAGGACCTCACTGATTCAGAAACTGTTAAGAACCCACTGTTCCAGTAGACCCCAAATTAAGACCTGGGAAGAAAATACCAGAACTCTTACTCATAGAATAAATAAATTAAGAAGTACTAATACAGGATTGGCTCTGGTGCTCTCACATGGTCCTTACACCAGGTAGTCATTTGAAACTCGGTCTCCAGGAAGGCATCTGTTGGAAGACAGAGTATCACAGATACGTGTAGGGTAGATAGTGCCACCCTCACCGGTCCACCCCATTTCAGCTGGTTACATTTACCTGGGACGTGGACTTACACAGGACCATGTGGTGGTGCAGTGGTAATGCACCTGGACTCACATGGGAATGGTCCTGAATTCACATCCTGTCCTGGATCTTCCTGAACACACTACAGTTCACTCCTACTGAGACGAGAAGTAATGGGTCATCAGGAGAATCACAACGTGCTTTTGCATAGAAAACACAGAGCATCATGACTTTCCCAGTGGTGTAATAGATCGGTGTGATGACTATGACTTCCTCTCTTTCTCTCATGAGAGATAAGCTTTATTAACAAGAAATTTAAAAATTAGGGCAGCCTATGATACAGTGGTTAGGACAGCTAGATTCCATATGGCCAACCGCATGGCTCAAGTCCCAGACCCACAAGCTTAAAAAGTATGCCAAGAATGTGTACTCAGGTTTTTGAGCGCACACGCGTGCCCCGTGTATTTTTCATGCCACCTCCATGTCAGCCATGTGGGATCCAGCACCTTAACCACCACGCCACTTGCTGGCACACCAGCTGAGCATTTTTAAAATAAGGTTTTAGGAACCAGATGGTAGCATGGTGGTTAAAGCTCTAGACAGTCCCACATGGCCAACCATGGTTTGAGTCTCAGATCTGGTGGCTTGCTCACTTTCCTTCTCTTTCTCTATATGTGTCTGTCTCTGGTCAAATTTTTAAACATGAATGAATAAATAAAATTAAATAAATGATTCTTTTCTATTTAGGACTATTTATTTAATTTTTACTTTTTTATTTTAATTTGGCCAGAGACAGAGAGAGAGAGATAAGGAAAATGAGAAAGCAAGTCACCAGGTCCAGGACTTGAACTGAGGTCGGTCATGTGGGAGTGTCCAGTGCCTTAACCACCACACCGTTTGCTGATCCCTTACATAAATGATTCTTTAAAAAATAAAAGAAATAAGGTTTTTAATCATTTTTTATTGGGGCCCACAGGTGGCATGGAGGTTAAAGTGCTGGATCACACGTGGCTGACTGTGGTTCTCCTCTTGGACTCAGTGGCTTGAAAATCATTCAGGACGTATGGTGGTTAAGGTGCTGGACTCTCACGTGGACAGCCACGTTTGAGTCTTGGCCCCGCTGGCTTGGAAATCATGCCAGGTGCATGTGTGTGTACATGCCAAAATCCCAAGAGGACAGCAGAGAATGGATTGTGGCCTAGCCATTCCCTTGGGGAGATTTCTCACTTTTCCTCTTGATGTCTTTCTCTGTCTCTCTCCAGTGAGTGCACACACCCTATGGCAAAAAAAAAAAAAAAAATAATCTTGGGGGAAAAAATCATGCTGGACAGGTGTGCATGCTCAGAATCCCAAGAGAAAAGTCAAGGAGAAGGGATTGCAGTGTGGCCATCCCCTCTGCTGGATGATTTCTCACTTTCCCTCTCTATTTCTCTCTGGTGAACACACCTTCTCTATAGTAAAAACTTTAAAAAAAAAAAAATTATTTCCTAGAGGGCCGGTAGGTGGCATAGTGGTTAAAGGTGCTGGATTCCCACATGGCAGACCAGAGTTCAAGTCCTGGCCCTGGTGAATTTACTTTCTTACTTTCCCTTTCTCTCTCTCTCTGGTTCAATTAAAAAATAATACCAAATGAAATTAAATAATTCTTTTTTAAAAAAATTATGTCTTGGGACCAGCGGATGGCATAATGGTTACATCACTGGACTCCCACATAGTTTACTGTGGTTTGAATCCCAGATCCGGTGGCTTAAAACTCACGATACATGGGCATGTGTGCCCAAAATTTTGAAAGGAGAATGGGGACAGGATTGGGACATGGACATCCCCCCTGGGGAATGCTTTCTCTCCGTCTTGCTGTCCCTGTTTCTCTAGCGAGTGCAAAAATGTTTTTCTTTCTTTTTTTTTTTTTTTTAAAGAATTATTTTATTGGGATCCAGCAGTTAGTGTAATGGCTATGTCGCTGGACTCCCATATAGTTGACTGCGGTTCGCGTCCCGGACCCAGTGGGTTAAAACTCACGCCGGGCGCGTGTGCATGCGTGCCCAAGATCCTGAGAGGAGAATGGAGGAGAAGGGATTGCAACGTGACCATCGGGGGGTGATTTCTCGCTTTCTGTCTCTATGTCTCTCTCTGTCTGTCTGGCGAGCGCACATGCCCTATAGCGAAAACCTATCCAAAAAAAAAAATTATTTTATTGAGGCCAGTAGGTAGCGTGGTAGTTAAGAGTGCTGGGCTCCCACATGGCCAACTGCGGTTCAAGTCCCAAACCCAGTGGCTTGCCTTCTCACTTTCCCTGTCTCTCTCTGTGTCATTCTGTACCTCTCTGTCAAATTAAAAAACAATAATAAATAAATAAATGAACTTGTAAGTTAAATTAATTCTTTTTAAATAATTTTTTGAAAAGAATTATTTTTTCCAAGCTGCCAGGTCCGAGACTCAAACTGTGGGTGGCCATGTACAAGTCCCGCGCCCTTAACCACCACACCACCTGCCAGCCTCTAATTTTATTTCTTTCTTTCCTTTTTTTTTTTTTGTTTGTTTGTTTTTTTGCCATAAGGTACATATGCTCACAGGAGAGAGAGGGAAAGTGAGAAGTTATCCCCCAGGAGGGTAGCCATGCCACAATCAGTTCTTTTCTTAGGATTTTGAGCATGCACCCACACATACCTGGCATGATTTCTCAAGCCACTAGGACCAGGACTCAGACTGTGGTCAGCCATGTGGGAGTCCAGTGCCTCAACCGCCATGCCACCTGCTGGCACTCTTCCTTTTTTAATACAAAAGGCATGTGTGCTGGCCAGAGGGAGGGAGAGGGAGAGAAAAAGCATCCACCAGTGGGTTATTAGTCATGGTGCAATCCTTTGCTCCCATGTTCCATTCCGTCAGAATTTTGGGCACACACACATGTGCACCAGCAAGGTTTTTTGTTTTTTGTTTGTTTGTTTGTTTGTTTTATTAATTTATTTTTCTTTTTTAAACATTAATATGCTATACATCATTACAGTATACAAAATGAATTTTTCATCCAAAATACACTGTTTGTTGGCTCAATCAAGCACATCAACATTCGTGTTATCAACAAACAATTTTTCATTTCTTATGTCTTGTATATTTTGCGGGGTTTTTTTGTTTGTTTGTTTTGTTTTGTTTTTTCATCCT